AGCACAACAACTGAGCAAGAAATAAACATGACAAATGAGAAAAAACTAAAAGCATAGATAGTCACAGGAGAGTGAATAACGATAGGCGTCTCCAAGAAGAAGAAAAACAGAGTTCCTGACACTTGAAAGCTCCGCGGGCGTTTTAGGCGTCTTTACACCTTGCGCGATGGAGCCATCCCGACGACTGAGCACGGACGGGAGCGACAGCGCCGGCAATCGAATGGGCTGTTGTGCGTGTGTGTATATCTGATCTGTCTATAGATATACATACACACCTTGCACACACACACAATTTTATATATAAATACTATATATTTATAATTATATATATATTACTATATATATATATATATATTATTATATATATGTTATATTATGGTAATTTTCTATATTTACCTTCGCCTCTCGATATCGACGATTTTGGTATCTTGGATTCCTCTCACTTGTCCACATTACAAATGTATAGTTTTTTATGCGCGGAACCCCCGTTTAGAATACGAAACAAACTTGGCCCCGATAAGCAGGGGAGGGCATGAAGGTTCCAGGGAAAATGCGGGTTAAATAACATATAATATAACCACAGTAAAAATAACATGGTAATTCACTGACTTTCCATTTGCAGGGCTGTGCCCTGCGACCCCACTGGAGCTGCGTCCCCAACCCCGCCGAGGAGACAAACTCCACCCCGTATTCCGGCAGCTCGAGCGTTTGCACAGTTTTCGGGGCCCGATCCCTCGGGGGAGCGGCGACGTATTGCATTTACCTTTCGAAATTTCCCACTGAATCAGCATGCTACCTGCCATAGTTCAACATTGTATACAGAGACGATTTGTAGTATAATCAGGGATGTACAAGGTATACACGAACAGAGAGCGCGCTGGCCCGCCCTGTCGGCTCGGCGCGGTTTTGCGCTTTTTCGATTGCATCCTTAGTTCGTTGCGCTCATCCTGCCGTGAAGACGTGGGGATATTTTGTGTCCTAGGCGCGGTCGCAGGGGGCACAGCCCCCTTGATAGAAAGTCATAGTTGAATAACGATGGTTATTTTTCACTGTGGGTTATATTATTAGGGTAATATTCTATATTATGTCCGCCCCTCCGACATCGTCGCCCTGCTATCGGGCCAAGTTTGCCGCTACGGGGTTTCCCGCAATAAAACCTACAATATTTTTGGATTGTACAGAGTGAGAGGAATCCAACTGATGCCAACATCGTCGATATCGGAGAGGCGAAGGTATTATTAGAAAATTATCATATATATATACATATATATATAATTATATAATATAATTATATATATATATAAGATAGATAGTAGAGTAGATAGTAGATAGATAGATTAGATCATTACACACACACACCACACACACACACGCACACACACACACACACACGCAACACCAACACACAACACCACACACACACACACACGCACACACACAACACACACCACAACACACAACCACCAACACACACACACACACAACACAACACACACACACCACACACCACACGCGCGCACACACAACACACACACACGCACACACACACACACACACAACACACAACACACACACACACACACAACACACACACCACACACACACGCACACCGCTCACACAACACACACACACACACACACACACACACACACACACCACAACACACACACACACACCACAATGCAACACACACACACACCACACACACACACACACACACACACACGCACACACACACACGCACACACATACACACACACACACACACACCACACACACGCGCGCGCCACGCGCGCACACACACATACATTACGCACACACACACACACACACACCACACACACGACACACGCACACACACACACCACACACACACACGCACACACACACCACACACACAGCACACACACACGACACACGCACACACACACAAACCGGAACGTCCCCGCTTAGGGCCAATCCGACGCCGCAACGGGACACGGTACACGCGGGCCGAGCCACGACGGGCGGGGGACGAGGCTCTTCTTAGCTCTCCTTCTCCCCTTTCCCCTTCTCTCCCCTCTTTCTCTTCCTCTTGCTGCTCTTCTTCACTCTTCTCTTTTCCCCTTTCTCTTTCTCCTCTTCTCCTTTCTTCTTCTCTTTCTTCTCTTCTCTGCTTTCTCCTATTCTTCCTTTTCCCGTTTCTCTTCCTCTCTGCTTTCTCCCTCTCTTTTTCCCGTTTCTTTCTCTCTTTCCCCTTCTCTCTCCTTTCTCTTCTTCTCTTTCTCCTCTTCCCCATTTCACCTCTTCTGCCATTTCTCCTCTTCTTCCCTTTCCATACCTCGTCCATCTTTATTCTCTTCCCTATCACCTACTCTCCCCTTCCCTATCCTACATTCTTTCTCTTCCTCCCTTCTTCCTTTTTTATTCAATTGCCTCATCTTTCTCAATCGTCTTCTTCTTTATTATTATTTTCTTCGCTTTCCCTTCTCCTCTCTTCCTACTCCTCGCTCCGTCCCTCTATTTCCTCTGTCCTTCTCCTTTTCCTCCTCCTCCTCCCTTTTCCATCTTGTTACTCTTTCTTTATCCCTTTTTCTTCTCTTCTACGCACTTTTCCACCTCATCTCCCTTCTCTCCCTCTCTCTCTATCCCCTTTTCTCCTCTCCTCCTCTCCTCTTCTACTTCATCCCCCTTCTCCTCCTCCTCCTTCCCCCCTCCATCTCCACAGCCTATGCCGCCCCCCTCCCTCCCCTCCCCCACCTTTACCTTTCGTGACCGTCTAATAGCAATAATGATCCCGAGCATAAGGGGGTTGGCAGGGGGAGTCAGGGGGAGGGAGAGGAGGGAGGAGGGAGGGAGGAGGGAACGAGGGGAGGGAGGAGGAGGGAGGGCACGAGGGGAGGAGGAGATACGGATGGAGGGAAAGAGGAGGAGGGGAGGGGAAGAAGGAGGAGGGGAAGGGTTCTGGTAGGGAGGACAAGTGGCTTAGGGGAGGTGGTGGGGGAGGGAGGAGGGAGGGACATGGGTAATATGACTCCTAAGTAACAAGCTGTCGTTTCTCCACCCCCTCTCCCCGCTCCCCTCCCCCTCGTTCCCTTGACCAACAGGTAGGCAGGCTCCGTCAGTCGCTCTCTCGCTCTCTCCCCTTTGTGCACTCCTTGTTATTCCATTCATTTCTTGTGATCGAGATTCGTAGACTTTGATCTTTGCAGATGTCATATTTCGTACCACTATTTTCTTTTGCGAATATGCTACATAATCCTTATTTACAATTATATGCGACGTGTATCGTGATATACGGAGATAGATTATTAACTAGTTAGCCAATATATATCGGTCTATATTTTATTATTCCTGTCATGTATCATACTGCATTTTACAGTCCTATATTTTATCATCGAACGTTTTTTTTGCATCTTGACATGCTATACTGCATTTTGCGATACATGCATTGATATGCACTTCGACTATCAAGTTTTGTATGGATCTATAACGCACAATTTTCTACCCCTTTTATAACGTACTATAATTTGTCCTTCACATAACATCCTTTATTCTATCCTTCCAAGCTTAAACATATAACATCCCTGCTCTCACGTAGTAAATATGTCTCGAAAAGCGTCCCAGCGCCACCAGTGATGACCTGTTTCAGCCGGTGGACGAAGAATGGACGTTAGAAAGAAGGAAATCAATATTTATTGGCAAAGGTATCTGAGGGTCCTGAGCACTGCAGGGGAGGGGCAGGGGGCAGGGCGCAGGGCGGGGAGGGGGAATAGAGAGTGGGGGGGGAGGGGATGTATTGGCATGGAGGTATATAGATCGTGATGAAAATCCTGATAATACGCTACATTGGCACACATTAGTTTGGACAACGTGGGATGTGTTCCGGTATAATACTATCTACTACTATCTATCTATCTATCTATCTATATATCTATCTATCTATTTATCTACGTATTTATCTTTAGTACCTGGTTTGTTGAAATGGAAAATAAGTGACCTCCATTTAGCCTCTAATGATGAGCTATCGCCAATATCTAGGCTATCTAGGGTTGTGTTGTGCAGCCCATGATTAGAAAAATGGCTAAGGATTTTGTAGTACCTGGGAAATTTGCTGACCGTAGCGGAGAGAGGAGAGAGAGAGCGAGAGAGAGAGAGAGAGAGAGAGAGAGAGAGAGAGAGAGAGAGAGAGAGAGAGAGAGAGAAGAGAGAGAGAGAGAGAGAGAGAGAGAAGAGAGAGAGAGAGAGAGAGAGAGAGAGAGGGAGAGAGAGAGAGAGAGAGAGAGAGAGAGAGAGAGAGAGAGAGAGAGAGAGAGAGAGAGAGAAGAGAGAGAGAGAGAGAGAGAGAGAGAGAGAGAGAGAGAAAGAGAGTAGAGACAGATGAATAACTGAACAGACAGACAGATATATAGATAGATGAAGAGAGGGAGAATGATAGAGAGGCAGACATACAGACCCACAGACAGACAGAGAGAATGAGTCAGAGAGACAGAACCAAACAGACACAGGAAAAGAAATAGAAATAAATAACTTTTAAAAAATCCCCCCTTCAAAAAAAGTCTTCCCCCCCTCAAAAAAAAAAAGAAAAAAAGAAAGAAAATGAACCGAAAATGAAAGCAAGAGAGCACGAGAGAGAAAGGCAACTCTCCCTGCGCCATGTTTGTCTCCGTCCTCATCAAGTTCCTCGGGGTAAACAACCGGAATTATTTAGTCTCGTTTTCTGTTTTCCTTCCCCCGGGGGAGTGCGAACACATTCTTATCTTAACGGAGGGATTAATCTGCGTGAGTCGAAAGCGTTGTTTAGTTAAGCAAGCCAGGCTCTTGATAGGTGAGAGGCGGGTGCGGTGAAAGTGCTGACAGAATGTGTGGATGCATAAGCACATATGTATATGCGACCACATACACAGATTCAAACACATACACACACGCACACACACACATACATGCACGCACACACACACACACACACACACACACACACACACACACACACACACACACACACACACATACACACACACACGTACTAACACACACATACACACATATATGTAAAACGTATCATTAGTAAATAGATAAATATACTAGCATGCATACACCTGTGCATCGACACCATCTGTAACCCTGCACGTCCCCAATGCAACCTCACGTGAACGCTGTGCTCCTGTGCTCCGCGAGTACGTTGAAATAGTATTCACTTTTGCTTTCAAATGGGCTTTACATTAAGATTTACGCTTGAAGATTTTTTATGGAGAACTTTTTGGTGGATGGATGGGTAACTACATTTCATTTTTTTTTCGGTTTTGTTCATAGTAGATTAGAATTATGGAGAGAACGCCGGGGCATGGCTGATTAAGGACAAAAAAATCATATATGTGAGGGAATAAACACGATTATGAACACATACATGTAATTACTTATTAATTTTCCATCCCCTCCCATTGGAAAATCATATATATATATATATATATATATATATATATATATATATATATATATATATATATTATATAATATACACACACCACACACACACACACACACAACACAACCCAACACACACACACACACCACACACACACACACACGCACGGACACACCACACACACACAACACACAACACACACACACGCACCTATATAATATGTAATAGTATATATATATATTATTATATATATATATATATATATATATATATGTATATATATATATATATATATATATAATAATATATTATATATATATATACTATATATATACATATTACATACTTTAATACAATTTCCTTTCCCTTTCCCTATCCGGCTCTGTCTCTCGCTCCTACT